TGTATTTCCCAATTTATTTTGGCTGCTACAAACACTGGACCAAATTTATGTCATACATATAATAGCAAATATTTGGGATAATAATCTTACTACTGGCTTCAATAATAATTCAATATGGAACTAATTTTCATGGTTGCCAAATCCATTATACAACTTAGCGGAATGTAAATGGGAGGCAAGGAAGGTATTGTTAGGTGAAAGAAGAAAGTGTGGGTGAGAAGTAAGTATTTTAGCTAAATGATACTGGCCTAATCATGTTCTCAATTTTAAACTGATTTTACAGAATTAGAATATACTTTTACATCATTCAGAGACATTATAAGCTGAAAGTAACAAAAAGCCATATAAACAGACTTTCAAAAAGTAAGTGATTTTGTTATACAATATCATGTCCAGGGTTGAGTAACTCGGAGCTGGCGTAGGCTCTGTCTTCCTAATCAAAGTTTTTTTATGTGGTTTATTTTTCACACATAAGTAAGAAAAAAGGCAAAGTTAAAAAGGCAGTTTTCTATAGGGACTTCTTTCTGTATCTCATTGGCCCGAATTGTACCACCAGGTCACCCCTAACTGCAGAGGAAGCTTGAAAATCAAGTTATTTAAAGACAAAAGAAGTTAGAAAGGGTAGAAAATGGGCCCCAGAAGTATGTACCTTATTTTGTTAGTATGTTGTTTACCTGAAGAAAATCTCACACAGACTATCTAAAAAAGCAATACACACAAAAAGAGTCATCAAGGAAGAAAAATTGAGAACAGAAGAATGTATATTATATTCCTGAAAATATTAGGATTTAATCTACTGACACATATCACTATCCAAATAATTTCTTTCTAGTTTAGTTTCTCATATTTTTTAAAACATGGACAATGGCTTGGAGAGGACTGTTTAATATGACACAGTATGACATCTGAAGTGAAAACTGGTCTTTGAGTTTAAATAACTGGGTTTCATTTGATTACATTACTTATTACTTGGATGACTTGTTATATGTAACATTTCTGTCTCATTTTTCTCATCTAGGAAAGGATAAAAATTTCTGCTTTAAAAAATTCTTGTGACTATTATATGAAATGCAATATATGAAAGTGCTAGAAATATAATACACACTCAACAAATGTTACTTTCTTTCCAAGTAAGATTTAAAACAGAGGCCATGAGACTATTCATGCAAAACAATCATTTTTAAAGTACAATTTCTAAGTTGTCTTCTGTGTAGTAAATAAATCTAGGAGAAAAGGAAAAAATCTCATCTGAAATGTAAGCAACATTCTTTGCCAAGTACAAAGCTAAGTATTTTATAAATTTTATTATGTTGTCTTTCATTTAAAAACTTAACACATAATAGTATTATTTTCTTGGTAGTATGTAAATGCATAATAAGATAAAATGTTTACTTCATACCCCTTAAACAACCAAGGAAAACACAAATTAATATTTGTACATTCACAATGATACAATATTCCTGTTATCCATTGTAGTATCTTCATGTTAGCTATTGAAAGCTATACTACACCCCTCTGGGAAGAAAAGAAATTCTAAATAGCATCTCATGACACAGTGTTTCAGAAAAGAAAACTAGTTTCCTGAAAATATATCATGAAATCAATGTATTTCCACAAGTGACCAGCTTAATCACCCAACCCTTCAGTCGAAAGAATTCCAATTGAAATGCTGCACTGCTTCTCTCCCTTTATAACTGAATCTACTCAACAGTACATTGCCCATTTTATAGGAGAAAGTAGATCTGGAGACTTTTGTATTGACTTGAAAGAAGGGCATTGGAAGTCTCGCCAGAAGGCTGCAATGCCTGTGCTTAGAAGTAATCAATAATTTTAAAAAATCACACTTACAGTTCTAGCTATTTGTTTCTGTCAAATATATTATGGTGATCCATTGTGCCCTAAAAATGGCATGAATATTGCAAAAATAAATTTTCTACTAGATAAAGGCACTACTTGTTTTTTTATTTGTTTCCCTTTTTTCTTTTGAGGTTTACAAGCAACAAAAGTTATAATTCCATGTTCTTCAAAAATAAAAAAGAAATATTTCTGTACTATAACAGGGTCCAGGAAAACATCATTAATATTTAGAGGAATATTAGAGGAATTTTAGAGGACCATCATATGTATATGAAATATTTAAAGTTCTTTTACAAGTATCTTCTTTTTCTCAGGATTTCTTTCACTGTATTCTACGAACTACTTATTAGAAATAAAAAACACCATTTTCCCACTTTTCTTTCTCAAAAGCAAAGATGAAATAATGATCAGTACAACTGAGGCAAAAGTGAACTCTCATGGTTTGATTATTTGCCTGGAAAAACAGAAGCGCTGCCTGCCACAGAATCATTCTTTCTATAAAAGACAAACTCCTACCTTTTCCATATGACAAAAAGAACTCGTCTCATTTCTGAAATTGTTCTATAAATACCATGTGGCTATTTTAGTTGGAGATTCCTCTCTAGGAGAGTGATGTATGGTCTGCAATATCCTCTGCTTGGAGCTTATGTTCTGATAAAGAAGATGATTGAGACAATAACTCTTTATTATTTCTTTATCAGAGTTGTGTCTCTGCACTCTGTCAAATACTTCTATGTTATCATGCACTGCTAACCCGACAAAGTCTATTACTTTATTTAAATTAAGCCACGAGGTTGTCTGTGAGTCTGCAAGCCTAGAGTTAAGATCCAACCACATAAACAATAACAAGCATTTCTTTTAGTAACTCTTTGCATTTGATTTATATTCACTTTATTAATTTCATTGGTGGTGAAGCTGTTCATTTTAACTTTTTTATATCTTTGCACCAAATTAATGTAGACAAGCTTTTCAGCAATAAGTTACATTGCTTTTATTACAGATATCAGCTCTGACACACTCCCAGCCTTTGACCTTGGACAAGTTACTTAACCTCTGTATGCCTTAGTCTTTAGTACTAAAAATGAAGGTAATTATAATCTTTATATGAGATAATATACATCATTATATTGACATAGCATGGTATAGCTATTATTAGGAGAGCAAAATCTTTAAATGCTTATTTCTATCATCAGAAGGAAAAAATGCAGGAAGACTTTTCAAAAAAAAACAAAAAAAAAAAAAAAAAAAAAAAAAAAACAAAAAAAAGGAGAAAGAGCACAGTTTTATCAACACCAGAGAAGATTTCCGTAGCTACCTATGTCAGAACCAGTATACATGGAGTGGGGGTTTTAATCAGATCAAAGCAACAGGCAAGACTGGAGAGATATTTGAGGATGAAACTGTGGTGTCCTTAAAGAAATTTGGATTTTAACCTGCATGAGAACACTGGCCAAGGGAATTAGGTAAAGACCAATAAAATCATTTTTGTATTGGTCAAAGATTTCTCAATTTATACGGTGATGGATGGGAGTACAAGACTGGAGAGTTGGACAGCAACTGGTAAACTGCAGTCATTGTACAGACAAGATAATCAAGTCACTTATTAAAGTACAGGGAATCAGGCTGAAGATGAGAATGAGAGGAGAGATTCTAAGAAGACAGAATGTACAGGACTGCATGGCTGATTTGGTATGAGACATAAGGGAGTAAAGGAGCTTTGGGATATATGCATCTACAACCTAGGAGAAATTTGTGCTGGAAATTCAGATTTGGAAAAAGTTGGATCAACTCGTAGGAGCTGCTGAGCTTCACCACAGAGTGTATAGTGAGAGAAGTCCAAAAATAATGTCTAGAGAACAGAAATATCTTTACCCTGTCCTCTTTACCCCAGAAAAGAGGAAAATGAACTGTAGGAGAACTAGATAAATTAAGAGAATCTCAGAAAAACTGGTGTGGTGAAAGTTCTGAAACAGCCTGAGGAATTTGCCTCATCAGGAACTGATGAAAATCGTGTTAGATTAGGATATAAAAGTTTCAGCAGTGGTAAATTAACAAAAAAGATAGATGCCCATCACAGCTCAGGCTTCACATGGTATAAGAAAATGGGGAGGACAAAAAGAAATTGAGATGATAATTAATCTGAGAGAAGTCAAGCTAAACAAACATAATTTTTTAACGATTATCATATGTGCACATGCAGATATATATACTTGGCATAATTATGATTAAATATTAAGAATATTTAAAAATTATTAAAATTGCCTACAGTTCATGACAAAAATATTTGAAGACTGCTACAGAGAGTTTATGAATTAATTTTCTTTTTATTAGTGGTTACTTAGTGTTCTCTGTTTCTCTTCTATTATGCTAATATTTTGCTTTTGATGTTTAGAAATATTGCAATGAATTTGATACAAATTATCTTAAATGAATAGTGAACAAATAAAATATTGATGTTAGGCTTGTTAAGTATCCCAAAGAGAAAATGCAAAGCTATTTTATAAAAGAATAACTAATGGAATTCTATTCAGATGCTTGCAGTGAATAGATAAATGCATTCTTTTTCAGACATCAGATGTAGAAGCTATAAGACTTTTTTCACAATTTTAATGGAAGAAGTACTTAGTATTTGTAGCATAAGCACCCCAAAGTCCTCTAAATCCAGCACATATCTAATCAAGAGAAACGCCAGTAATCTAAGTGAATTTAATATGCTGCACTTCCAGGTTTACTCTCCTGAAGTTTCAGTGTGTCTCCACAGAAATACTGAAACATTTGCATGGGTGTTCGAAATGACATTTACCAGAGAAATTGTTTAAAAAGTAAATGGATACCATCCATCTGATCTGTTTGGCTTGTTGGGAGCCAGGGTAAAATACATATGAAAATAATTCTCCACAAAGCAGTTGAGAAGGAGTCAAGTGCTAGAAGCAGGTTAAAGGAGAGGAAATCCACAGAGGTAATAAACCTTGTAATAATATGTGTATTCTAAAGAGGGCCACTGTATTGGGAATGCAAAGAAGGTGGGGCTGATGGAGAGAAAGTATGGATCTTCAGATGCAAGATATCAACTGAAATTTATTCTGAGTATTTTCATATCCTATACTTGACAAATAAGTGCCTCAAAAAATAAAAGTTGAGTGCTCACCTCAGCATGACACATGCGAAAAGTGGAACGATACAGAGAAGATTAGCATGGCCCCTCCACAAGGATGACACACAAATTCGTGAAGTATCCCATATATTTTCAAGGTGGATCTCTTGGCAGAAACCCTACAAGCCAGAAGAGAGTGGGGGCCAATGTTCAACATCTTTAAAGAAAAGAACTTTCAAACCAGAATTTCATGTCCAGCCAAACTAAGCTTTATAAGTGAAGCAGAAATAAAATCCTTTATGGACAAGCGACTGCTGAGAGACTTTGTTGCTACCAGACCTGCCTTACAAGAGCTCCTGAAGGAAGCACTAAACATGGAAAGGAACAACCAGTAATTACCACTGCAAAAATGTACCAAATTGTAAACACCATCAACAAAATGAAGAAACTGCATCAACTAACAGGCAAAACAAACAGCTAGTATCAAAATGGCAGGATCGAATTCACAAATAACAACATTAACCTTAAATTTAAACAGCCTAAATGCCCCAATCAAAAGACACAGGCTAGGAAAATGGATAAAAAGTAAAGACCCGGCCGGGCGCGGTGGCTCACGCCTGTAATCCCAGCACTTTGGGAGGCCGAGGCGGGTGGATCACGAGGTCAAGAGATCGAGACCATCCTGGTCAACACGGTGAAAC